CTTCGAAAGGTTTCGACGGTAAGTTGCCCTGCTTGCTTCCTCGTGGCAAACTGTACATGGCGCAGCCCCCAGCCAAGCATGAGCCAAGGCCCGTTCTTGGCAAGGAGTCGATGATGCTTCACGGCTTTCCCAAAGGTTTTTTTCGGCAGGACGTTCTGGACAGCTTGGGTTTCACAGATGCATTCCTGAAAGATTTAGCGGGCAACAGTTTTCAGGGATTCGTTTTTGCTGCAGTTCTCTTGTCAGTGTTAGCGCATTTGCCTGCGAAGACAAGCCCCCAGCTGCAGGGAACGTCGAGTGACGAGCCCGATGTGGACGGCATCGTCGGGGGAATTCTCAACCAGGGTTCTTCAATCTAGAGCTGCGGTTTAGGGTTTAGGTAACCTTAGATACCTTATATAATATTGATGCGATGATGTCAATGCTATCCGGACTGTCAGTGTTGCTACGCAGCCAAATGCAGACTTCAAGGCCCTTGGCATGGGAACTCGGCTTCAAAAGGTTAGCGCGTCGAAATCGTCGCCGTTGCTGCTGCTCCTCCTGCCCCCCTCGCCCTTTGCCACCTCCTTTCCCCCCTCCCTCCATCCCCCCTTCTCCCCCTCCCTCCCCCCTCCTCTCTCCCTCCTCCCCCTCCGGGCGACCAAGAGAGTAAGGAGCGAGGAAGTGGTAGGGGGGGTGCAGCCCCGCCGCCCGCTCCTGCGCCGCGAGTTCCAGGACTCCCGGGCACCGCCCGTGCCAGAGAGAGAGAGAGAGAGAAAAAAAAAAAGAGAGAGAGAGAGAGAGAGAGAGAGAGCAACAAAGGGATATAGGAAGAGAAAGAGATGAGGAGGGGGAGGCGAAGGAGGGGGATGAGGGGGAGAGGGAGGAGGAGGAGGAGGAGGAGGAGGAGGAGGAGGAGGCGGAGGAGGACGAGGACGAGGAGGAGGAGGAGGAGGAGGAAGAGGAGGACGGAGAGGAGTTGGAACGAGGATGGGAAGGGCAAGGGGGAGGAGGAGGAGAATGACGACGACGACGACGACGACAACGCTGAGAAGGAAGAGGAGGAACTAACCTGAGGCCGCGCGCCGTCCGCCGCTCCGAGGCCGACGATCTGCGCGACGGGCGCGCCGAACTCAGCGGAGGTCCAAGGGCTCCTTCGTACAGGCTCTTTGGGGTACAGGGTCTCGGGGGGCCTCCCAGGCCTCCACAAGGCTTATCGGGGCTTCTGGGATATTCCAACGATCGCGTGCGAGCGACAGTTGCAGTTTGAAAACCACTTTGCCCTTGAACGACGATTGCTGCCAATCCCGATGGGACTCTAAACGGTATCGCCAACTCCGCTCGGGATACTCTCGGCGTCCGCTCCTCGAGGCCGTCGCCCCGCCGCCGCCCCTAATCCCCCGCCCCCTTCGAGGGCCCCCCTAACATGCAGCCGTTGGACCCAAGGCTCTCTTACGCGCGGAGTTTGTGTGTCCTCGGGCCCCCAGAGACCCTTGGGCTGAGACACGCCATGGAACTTCTACGGGACTTAAGGGCCCAAGCGGGTAGCTTTATAATACAAGTACTCGTCGAACATACGTTGAATGGCCCCCGAAGCGCTCCACGACAATGTACTTACGTCCCCATCAATATATGCCACACACTGTATATATCATATATCAGATACCGGTACCCACTGAACACTGAATGGTATACGGAATTCCTGCATCAATCTAACAACAAACAAGTCTCGGCACGGCTCTATCTACGGTCACACAAATTCGCATATCACACTATACTCTTGTATGTAACAACACAGACTAAAACGTTACCAAGCATATATATATATATATATATCAGTGTGCATCACTAGTTGTTAACATGTATGTGTATACTGTATACATTAACTTGTCATCGTACATATGAGCGTGAAGTGATATGTATATATTAACATATTTATGTATATACTAACTATATTCATACATATTTCTATACTAATACGTGAATATGTTTATATATATATATATTATATTATATTATATTGTATTATATTATATTATAGTATATAATATTCTGTTATATTAGGTTATATTATATTATAGTATATTGTATTATATTAATATATATATATATATATATATGTATTAATTTAGAATATGTATGATTTATTTATATCGGGTGTATGTATATATATATATATATACATATATATATATATATATCGGGTGTTCACATCGCGCATACATTTATATCGTGGTGTAATCATATCGGGCTATATATATATATCGTGGTACAATGATATGTGAGCGGATACACATCGTGGTACAATTATATGGGAGCGCATATATATCGTGGTACAATTATATGGGAGCGTATATATAGATATAGCGGTTATTCATATCGGGGCGTACACTTGATTTTTCCAAGGGCTAATGTTTGTAATCCGCATAACGCAAGACCTCACTGACCCGGGTCTGGATTGACCCGGGTCAGAAGACCTCCTCCTCCTCCTCCTCCTCCTCCTCCTCCTTTTCCTCCTCCTCCTCCTCCTCCTCCTCCTCCTCCTCCTCCTCCTCCTCCTCCTCCCCCCCTGGAGTAGAGGTCCCCCCCTGGAGTAGAGGCCCCCCGAAACGCCCCTCGCCGCCCCCCCCCACGCGGGGGCGCCAGGAGAGCAAGCCCACCGCGCTGGGCCGCCGCCCCGCCTGTTGCAGGGCGGCCGTCGCTCCTGCGGGTCGTCGTTGCCGATCGTCGTCGAGCGTCGATGCGGGGTCGAGGCAGTTCTGGTAGGTGGTGACGACGAGGGTTGAGGATGAGGATGATAATGATGGTGGTGGTGGTGGTGGCGACGAGGGTTGAGGATGAGGATGAGAATGATGGTGGTGATGATGATGTTGATGATGCTGGTGGTGGTACTGGTGGTGGCGATCATGGTGTTGATGATGGTTGTGATGATGTTGATGTTGATGTTGATGTTGATGATGCTGCTGCTGCTGACGATCATGAAAATGATCCTGCTCATGATCATGATGATGACGATGATGATGATGATGATGATGATGGCGATGATGAAATTGAAGGAGACGAAGATGAAGAAGGCGATGGTGATGGCGGCGATGATGGATGATGGTGATGCGGATGAGGAGGAGGAGGAGGAGGAGGAGGAGGAGGAGGAAGAAGATGACGCGTATGCTGGAGTCGAGGGGTCGAGGGCCGGGGGCCGATCGAGGGTCGACGAGCGAGGCCCCCCCACCCCCCCCGGCGGCGTAGCAGGCGCGCCCCCGACCTGCGCGCGCGGCCGGCGCCTGGCGGCCGCTCAGAGGCGCCCCCCCGGCCACGACAACGGACCACAGCGCCGGACGGCCGGGCGGCGACGGACGATCGGGCGACGAGCGACGGACGACCGACGACGACGCCGACGACGGAGGACGACGACGGGCGACGGGCGATGGACGACGACGGAGGACGACGACGACGACGACGACGACGACGACGACGACGACGACGACGACGACGACGACGACGACGACGCGACGTCGACGACGACGACGACGACGACGACGACGACGACGACGACGACGACGACAAGGACGACAGACTAAGACGACGACGGCGACGTGCGATGTGCGACGGGCGACAGGCGACGGGCGACGGGCGGAGGCGGCCGCTCCCACCCTGGGGGGCGGGGCGCGGGGGCCGCCCCTGGAGACAACGTCGAGGAGAGGGCCGAGGACCAGGGAGGACCCTGGAGGAGGAGGAGGAGGAAGGAGGAGGAGGAGGAGGAGGAGGAGGAGGAGGAGGAGGAGGAGGAGGAGGAGAGGGCAGGAGGAGGAGGAGGAGGAGCAGGAGGACGAGATGAAGAGGGAGGGCCAACGAGGAGGAGGGGTCGACCTCTCCCTTCCAGGGAGGCGAACCGAGGATCGGGGTGGACGAAGAGAGGGGGGGGTCGAGGAGGAGGAGGATCGGGCCAGACGAAAGGGGGTGGTCGGGCGGGGCTAAGGACCAGGCTGGCTCGTCCCGGAGCGTCCCAGAGCGCTCTCGGAACCTTCTGGGGCGCTACGGAGCGGTCATGGCGCCCGATGCATTTTCCAGAACCGCGGGATCTCCTCCTCCTCATCCTCCTCCTTCTCCTCCTCTTTTTCCTCCTCCTCCTCCTCCTCCTCCTCCTCCTCCTCCTCATCCTCCCTGTGCGATGTTGTCCTGGTGATGTCTTCGTCTTCGGCGGGAAGGATGGGTCCCCCGCGGCGGCGCGAAGAGAAATGGCGCTCCGCGCCTCGCGGTCTGGGCCAGAGCGGTTGCCCGTTATCCAGGCGGTCGCGCGGTGTGAGGGCGCGAATTCTCCCTGGGTCTACTGGAGCCTTTCATCCTCATCCTCATCTTCCTCATCAGCAGCAGCAGCAGCAGCATCATCAGCATCAGCATCATCAAATCCAATCCAGTCCAGGCCAGTCCAGTCCGATCCAGTCCAATCCAGTCCAATCTGCGCTTCCAAGCTGGAGCCGCCTGGCGCGTCCACGGGCTTCGCAGGGCCTCCTGGGTCTCCCAGGGCTTCCCTGGGCTTCGCAGGGCCTCCTGGGGCCTCCGTGGGTTTGTCTTCCCCCTCTCCTCCCCCCCTCTGCCCCCCTGGGGGCACAGCGCGCAGAGTGGAGTGACCCGAGGGCAGGTGGGCGGGGGGGCGAGACCTCGTGCGCGCAGCCGGTTCTCTTGGCCCCGCCGCCGCTCGCGGCTCCCCCCTCGGTGCACGGCGGCCTCCCCGGCGCGCCAGGAGCCGTCGGGAGAGCCCACCGCGCGCGGCCGACTCCCGGGGGGCCGTGGTTCTGCTGCCCCCCTGGTCAGTCCAAGCTCGGCGGCGAGCCCCGGGGGAGGGGCTCCCTCCTGAAAGTCCCCATCCCGTCCTCCTCACTTCCTCCTCATCCTCATGTTCCTCTTCTCCATCATCATTGGCCTCATTCGTCTCCTCCTCCTCCTCCTCCTTCTCCTCCTCCTCCTTCTCCTCCTCCTCCTGCTCCTCCTCCTCCTCTTTCTCCTCCTTCTCCTCCTCCTCCTCCTCCTCCTCCTTATCCTCCTCCTCTTTCTCCTCCTCTTTCTCCTCCTCCTCCTCCTCCTCCTCCTCCTCCTCCTCCTCCTCCAAGCGAGAGGGGGCGGGCCTGCTCGGGAGGCTTCGAAGGCCCCCCGGCGTTCTGAGAAGTCTCTGATGCAGCCTTCCCAGAAGACACGGGAGGCCCCTCAGAAGGCGCGAGGGGCTTCCGAGAAGTCCCGCCGCCTTCTGACAAGGCCTCCTTCCTCCTCACTTCCCCCTTCCCCTCTTCGCTCGCCGCCAAGATTCCCGGAGTCCGTGGCCAGCCAAAGCGGGCCCCGGGGAGGGGGGGGCGAGATCCCCCAGGGCCCAGATCAGGAAGATGATGAATCAAGGGCAACGTTAGCTTGGGGCTCCCAGATGGGGTCCGAATAGATGGGGTCGGAGGATCGCGCCTCAGCGCCGATGCATCGGCGATGCAGCTCGATGCGGAGCTCGATTTTCTCCGCGCCGACGTCGCCGACACAGGTCGGCGACGTCGTTGATGCATCACCGATGCATTAGCGATACATCGGCGTTGCGGCGCGATCCTCCGATCACATCTACTCCGACTCCATATGGGGGGCCTCTACTCCAGGAGGAGGGAGGGAGGAGGAGGAGGAGGAGGAGAGGAGGAGGAGGAGGAGGAGGAGGAGGAGGAGGAGGAGGGGAGGAGGAGGAGGAGGAGGCAGGAGGAGGAGGAGGAGGAGGAGGAGGAGGAGGAGGAGGAGGGATGAGGAGGAGGAGGAGGAGGAGGAGGGGAGAGGAGGAGGAGGAGGAAGGAGGGTTGAGGGGAGGAGGAGGAGGAGGAGGAGGATGAGGAGGAGGAGGAGGGGAGGGAGGAGGAGGAGGGGGAGGTAGGACGAGGAGGAGGAGGAGGAGGAGGAGGAGGACGAGGAGGAGGAGGAGGAGGGGGGCATTAGGCTCAGTGGGGGACGTGGCCTATCGATCGCCGAGAGGGGCCCGAGAGCCCACCCCACCCAGGAGCGTGCGGTGTCGCCCTCGAGCGGGGGCATATCTCAGGAGGGGAAAAAACACACACACACAGACACAATGAATCGTCGATCCTCCAGAAAAATATGGGGAACTATGGGAATTGGGCGGGAAGACAAAAACCCAGAAAATACACGAAAATACGGGGATTATTCTTATTTGTGTGTATTTATTTGTGTGTCGCAGGGCCCCTTCAATATCGGCGATGTATCGCCGATTCCAGCTCGACGCTTCCCTCCTGAGCCGGTCCCACCAGAACGCTGCCCTGCAGTGAACGTCAGAGGAGAGGGTTCTTTGCTTGCTGCAGCTTTCCTAATACTCCTCGTCGTCGTCGTCGTCGCCCTCACCCTCCTCGTCCCGCTTCCCTTGCCCAGCCTGGGCGCTTCCCGGCCATGGTCTCGGCGCCAGGCGCCCTTGCCAGACAGCGACCCCTTCGCGCCCTCGCCGCGCCTTCCTGGTGCGCAGGACCGGTCTCATCGTGGGCCAGCCTCATTTCGTATGTCTCTTTCTCTCTCTCTCTCTCTCTTACCCTCTCTCTCTCTCTCTTTCTCTCGCTGGACCCCTGGAGGTGGGCTCTTCATTCATGTTAGTTTTGGCTTTCGGGCCCCCCCTCGTCGCCACGGCCGGGCCGTCGGAGAAAGGATCGGGAAGGTGTTGGGAGGAGGTCGCGGTAAAAGGGAACCAGGCGATGGAGCAGGGAGGGTTGTTTCTGCCCACGGCCGATGCAGAAGTCTGGACGCCACGGAGGAGAGAGGTGGCGGAGGAGGAAAGTGAGGTTGGATGTGTGAGATCCCCTTCGTCGTTCTCATCATTATCATGCTTCTCCTGCTCCTCCGCCTCCTCCTCTTCCTCCTCCTCGTCGTTCTCATCATCGTGTTCCTGCTTCCCCTCGCCGACCTCATCATCCTGGTCTTCCTCCTGATCTTCCTCCTCCTCCGCCTCCTCCTCCTTCAGCGAACGATATCCTCCCGCAGCGAACGAACCGCGCCAATGAGGACCCCTTAACGCTGAGCCCCAGACAGCCGGCCACCGTGGAGGAGTTCGACGAGCGGCAGACGACAACTGGCTGCTTTTCAGGCGCTTCGGAGGGCGCACCAAAAAGGCCCGACCGCAAAGTTCTGGCGATTCTTCTTCGTCTTCTTGTCTTGCCTTCTCCTCGTCCGAATCCTTATTGTTCTCCTCTTGGTGCGTATACCTGGGGCGTGTTACCAAAATTCGCGCGGCGTGTTATCAAGATCCGAGTGGCTCGTGATAGCATATCCGTCGCTTGTGTTCGAAACGTGCGCGGTTTGTTACCGAACCTTGGATATGCTATTGAAGCCAACCCTTGCTTACCAAAACCCGCCCCAGCCTGATTCATTAGCTGACGCCGCACCGCCGACCCTTGTGGCGGCAGTAAGAGTGCAAGACGGAGTTTGCGGCACGCGCGCGATTCCTGGGGAATCTTGGGGATTCAGTTCCTTGGGATTTCGTCGGGGGCGGTTGGCGGACCGCGGCTCTGCGCTTGGGCTTCTCTGGGCTCCCTTGGCAGCTTTTTTGAGGCCTCTCGGGAGCCGTTTCGAAGCCTCTTTTGGGCCTCTCGGGGGCCTCGTGGGAGCCTCTTGGGGGCCTCTTGGCGCCTCCTCAGGTTCTGTTCGGGGCCGAGTGCTCAAAATGTCCATTCGGGTTCACCTCTGGGCCTCCTCAGGGGGCCGTCCTGGGGCCCTCCTGGGCTGTTTTGGAGGCTTCTGAGGCCGTATTGAGTTCCTCTTGGGCCGTCTTTTTGGATGCCTCTTGGCCTATCTTGGGTCGATCTTCAAGGCTTCTGGGGCTGTTGTGGGCCTTGTGAAAGCCCAAGAGGCGAACGTGCTAAAAATGTACGTTGTCTTCGGGAATTTGATGTTTTTTGCTTCTGGAGGGTCTCTTGGGGCGCCTCTTGGTGGCTTCTTGGAGCGTATTTGGTGCATCGGGGACCGTCTGGAAGCAATCTTGGGCGTCTTGGAGCGATCTTTCGGCCACTCGTAGCCCTCTTAGCCCGTTTTGGAGCCCCCTAAGGCTCCAAGGGTGCAGCCAGCACCTTTGCCCCACCCCCTCCAAACCGGCCCGACCGGGCTCCCGGGGGAAAGGTTTGGGGAGGGGGAAGCATCTCACACGCCGTGACCCCAAGGGGTAGGCGGATTCCCTGGCAGTTCCTAACATTCGATGGGATTCATGTTGCATTTCCGTAGTATTGTCCTGGTCAGTGCCGTGCAGAATGTCTTGGAAGACGTTCGTCATGATATATGGCAAGAGGGTTTCGCAGACAAGCCAATAGTATGCATTTGGTTGCACCCTGGAGGACGCACGCAGCTCTGTATATCCTGCATGTTGCGCAAATTCGCTTGTTGTCAAGAGACACGGGCTTCCGTAACATCTGGCCCAGTTTTGTAAAATACGTGCGTTTTTTATTGTCAGATTGTGGTACTAGCCGTCATGTCCGCCGAACATGATATTACACAACGAGCACGATTTTGCATGTCAGATAATTGCGATGGTCTATAGAAATACTGGCTTACATGAGAAGTTGTGAGAGAGTAGACGGCCGCTCCATTAAACAGTGATGTCCATTTACATGAATACGATTTCAGGGAGTGGTTTCCATTCATGCTCGTTTTGCGTTGCAAGTGCATCCAGAGGCTTCAAGGCAGCCCGAAAGCATTCCACGATGCCCAAGACGAAACGACGATCATTTCAGTAACACGCAAGCGTTTTGATATTTAAAATAATGTTTATACATACATGTAAATGTAAGGTGATTCTCAAATTAATCCGTATTCCTGTATTTTTTGCAAACGAATTTGCAGTGAATACAGGCCGAGAGTGATCAGTGAAGTATTTATTTTGAATTGGGCGGAGATGGTTATATATATATATATATATACACACGGATACTGCTAATGATCTATATATACATATATATATATATATATATCGGAATAGGCCTGGGGGGGGGCGGGCCGGCGCTAACCTCACCCATGGGCGCCCCCGGGATTTCTGCGGGGTCACAGAGTTCCCGGGACTGCCGGGGCCGCTTCCAAATCGCCCACGACAGGCCACGCGGGCCGTGCAGATAGTCAAGAAAGCTTCAAGAGATTCCGAAAGCGCCCAAGATAGCGCCAAGAGAACCCAAGAAGCTTCGAAACCGCTCCAAGAGGCTTCAAGAAAACGTCTCAAGAGAGCCCCGATTATCTTTCCGACGTTCCAACAAGGCTCCACCGGTCCTCAAAAGCGCCCGAATATTGCCCGGGCCCCGCAGACGGCCTGAAGACGGCCGCGGACAGCTAGCCCTTTCACAGCCCAAGAGGTATCCCAGAGAGCCCTAGAAAGTTCAAGGGGAGAACCACGAACTGACCATTCGAGCCTTCTGTTTCAACAAGGCCCCCAGAGCCCCTAATTGCGCCCAAGAGGTACCTAGGAAGCCCAAGATGGTCCCACGCCAAAAATCATCGATCTACCGTTTACGACTGAAAAATTCTGATGGTTCTGATTGTTCTTTTTTCTCAACGCTCCCGGACGGCGTAGAAAATCCCAGCGTTCGCTGCAGGACGGCTTCAGAAGCTCCAAAGACGTTCCAAGAAACACAAATCTGCCGAGAAGACTTAAATATACCCACAAGACGAGGCGCAAGCGCCATGCGAACCGACATTTTGCGTTCTTTGGCCTCAGAGGCCCCTACGTCTCTCTCAGAAGGCTATCGAAAGGGAAGCTCCGCGAGGCAACCGAGAACTTCAAGAAGCCCAGAGGCGTCGTGAAATTCTTCATGCTTCGCGCATCCCCACCAGCCCATTCCAGAACAGTCTCTTGTGCGAAGCATGCCGGCAGTCGTGGCTTTCGGGCGCACCTCTTCGTGCCCACGCATCTATCCTTCTACTTCTCTGGGCCTTTCGCTCTGGGAGGCTCTTGGAGGCATCTTGGGGGTATCCCGGGACCTTCTTGGGGATATTTTGGAGGTCTCTGGGTCCGTGGTGCCTCTCGGGGCTCCTTTGGGGCTCTGTTGGGGCGCTGTTGGGGCCTTCTTGGGGCTCTTTGGGGGGGTTGGGGAGGTCTCTTGGAGCCATCTTGGAGGCTGTCGACCAAAACAGGGACGAGCACTTTTCTCTGTCCCCACGTCGGGTCCCGAAACCCTATGAAATTACAGCATGCGGCGCCTTTTCGGCTGCCCATTTTGGACGCCCTGACGACCCCCGGAACGGCCTCTCCAGGTCCAGGGGGGGGGGTAGGGGGAGGGACACCCGCAAGCCGTCCCGCTCACTCCCACCCGCCCTCCCAACACATACGTAGCACCCGAGTCTGGCCCGAGCCTCAGCATATTCAGCAGTGGTCTTTGGATGGGCAGCTACTGGGGGCCAATCCGCCGCCGCCGCCGCCGCCGCCGCCGCCGCCGCCGCCGCCGCCTGCCGCCGCCGCCGCCGCCGCCGCCGCCGCCTGCCGCCGCCGCCGCAGCCGCCGCCGCCGCCAAGTGTACTCTGGATTGTTTTTCGACGGGGATGGTGGGGAGGGGCCGCATCGGATTGGCTGCGCATGTTCCGAATTTGGAGGCAAAGTGTGTTTTGTATTGTTTTTTACAAGCGATGGTGGGGGGGTGTTAGCATGGACTCGGGTTGGTCCCCAGTCGCCTGGGGGAGGGGGTGTTTATTAATAGGGAACAGTGATAACCCCTCCCCGAAGGGGAAGAAAGGCGTTGAGGACAGAGAGGGCTCCCTAAACCACTCACGCCCAGAGGGCTGCTGGGATTAGTCCCCGGAGGAATTTGAAAAGACCCCGCGAGGCACCTTTAAACTATCCTGTAACGTCCCTCACGGGGGTGGAAGCCAATTGGGTGCAGCTTACTCCGTGGAGCGTCGTGTTGTCTCTTCTTCCACTCGTGTTCTTGCGCTAGACGTCCACCCCTGAGGCTCTCGGAAGTTTCCTCAAGGCTCGCAGGTGGTCAGAAAAATGCCCCGAACATCGAAGTTTTAGGTATTCGAGGTTTCGTCTTCGACTCCGTTCCCAGAGCCTCGACGTGGTGTCTGTTCATTGTGTCGGCGCCTTTGTTGTTGTGAAATTATCCTCGGATGGCCTCTTTGTGACGCTCCCGAGAGAGGGGAGGAGGGAAGGAGGAGGGAGGAGGGAGGAGGACGGATGGTGAGGAGACGGATCTCGCGCACGGCGTCATCGGAGCCATCGAGGCCACGGATGAGGTAGGAGGAGGAGGGGGAGGAGGAGGAGGAGGAGGAGGAGGAGGAGAAAGAAGGGGAGGCGGAGGAGGAGGAGGAGGAGGAGGAGAAAGAGGAGGAGAAGGAGGAGGAAGACGGGGAGGAAGGATTAAAAGCAGGACAGATGAGGAGGCGGATGACAACGTCGAGCAGGAGGAGGAGAAGGAATGACGCCTGTCCTGGAGCCTCTTGGTGTCGCCTTGGTTCTCCTAGAGCGTATTGGGGGTCGTGTGGTTTGTTTGGGTTTTTCGG